AATAATAATAATAATAGTAATAATACTAATAGTAATAATAATAATAATAATAATAATAATAATAATAATAATAATAATAATAATCACAATAATAATTTAAGAGCCAATACCAGATCTGACGTAATTGGGACACAATTAGAAACAAAGAATTTCAATAGGTTTGAATAGGTTCAAGTAATAAGGTTGGGTAGAGTACGGTACCCGGAACCTAACAAATGAAAAACATAGGGTACAAACTATAGACAAATATATTGTGAATGAAGATAAGATAAATAATGAGCAACAAGGTAAAAGGAAATCAAATAAACTTGCTAAAACCAATATATTAAAAGCTTATGGCTGGGAAAAAGAACTCAAAATATTAATTGACACACAAAGTGTGATTTCTGCAATGTCATTGAATATATGGTAAAATCTGTTTAAACTGGAACTTGTGGAAGCCAGAAACTGTCTTAACCGGAAAATTTCTTCGGCCTATGAAGTTAAATGGCATTTCATACAGCATAAAACGGAACCTCTAAAACGCGGAAACAGAATGGTTTTTCATATCCTGCAGGGAAATTTTTTTTTAATACCGAATTCCTGTGAATTTAATGCAAGTGGCTGAGGTGCGAAATATTATTAATGAAATGAATGCATTTTTTAAGCCTTTTTTAAATCCTCTATTCTTATGACAGGCGATTTAGGCGTTGCAGCCAGATATTGAAGGAGACGGGCTTCAGATGTCAGCATACATTTCAACCTTGGATCGATTGTCTTTCAAGGCGTACGCCTTACGGCAAATTTCTGCTCTCCTGATTATCTGAGCATGGGGAGGTGTAAGGGCATGACTTCTGCATAGTACTGGGTTGTGATGCATTGTGCATTAAGAGTCAGCAAGCAGTTTGAATACGTCCACTAGGCAGTAAGGTTTTCTGTATTTTTCAACTCAGAAGCTGTCAATGTAGTGTTCAATATTCATTTATTTGTGATATCTATAAAATCATTAATGTTATTGTATTTTGCAAATTATAATAAAGTCATGTAATTTAGACCCATTACTTTCAGGGAAGAAATATCAATATCACAAGTGTCATAAAATGGACAACCTTGCATAAAACAGAAACCTCACTAAACCAGAATTTTTTTGTGTCCCAATCGATTCCGACTTAGACAGATTTTACAGTATAAGGTTTTTAAGAAGAATCTTGCAGAATTACGAATTTGAAAAATTAAATTTACCTAATGCTAATGGAAAGATATCAGAGTTTTAAAGAAAAGAAGTTTGGATGAACAGAAAGGAATTGGAAATTAATTGTAATAATTAAGAGTTTCCATGAGTGATGGTGGAGTATTTAATAAGGGATGTAATCCTGGATGTGACCATGTTACATAAGCCAATCAAATAGATTGAGAAAGGTAGAGTAAACTAGAAAATTCCTGAGAATGTCATTTCTAGTGTTGAAGTTCTTGATGATACTGAAGATGACTTAAAAGCATGGGAACAAGCTTCAGTGCATCTGAATGAAGAGGATTTATGAAGACATTTCAAAATACTAATTCATGTCCTGAGATATTGTGAATAAATAATACCTATGTGGAGTATCAAGATGGAGTCAGGCAAATAAATAAGATAAATATTTCAGTATGTCGTAGTATAGTCAAGAGATATGCCTGTGCAACATTCATGAAGTGCAAAGATGCAATTCTCTGGTGTGTTTCCAGGGGAGAGGTAAGTACTATGTGATGCCCTTATGTTTTTTTAAGTGTCAATAGATTGCAGTTGGCAAGAAGAAAGGGCAAAAGCAAAACGCTAGTAGACTCACGAGAATAGGTAATTAACTAGTACTAGACAATCTGTGCCATTCTACCAGCAACATTAGTATTTAAAGTTACACAGGAATACATGCTTGTAAAATCTTGCAGTTCCTATTTTCATTAAATGATTTTTAAAAATTATGTGAAAGTCATAATGGTTTGGCTTCCTCCTTCACAAGATAGGGATCTTTTTTTAATGATATAGTATCTGTTTTTCAAAATTAGAACTTAAAACAACGTTATGCTCTTATCTATCATATCAAAATATGATTAGTTTTTAAGTAATAAGAATTCCTTCACAATACCTAAACAATTATTTCTCAAACACGCCTTTTTAAATTTTTTTTTAATACAGCAAAAGCAATTATAAATATGACCTCAGTTCAATTTTCATTAGAACCTCTGAAATTTTTTAAATTCATAAATTTACCTACTTTCTTGTATTCAGAAACTGACTACAAGAATGTAGAAACTGACTACTATGTTTTGGGGGAAGAAAAAAAGAAGAAAAAAGAAACTAAAATTAAAAAATATAGCATGCATAATGAACCCCAGAACAGACTAAAATTCCCAAAACTGCAGCTATTCCTTTTTTTGACATGCTGGAAGCACAGAAGGGTACGGGATAAAACAATTACGAACAGAGTGTGTGCTTAAGTTTGAATCTCAATTCAGGGAAATATTTTTGCAGGTTGCAAAAACTTCTATTAATTACATTACTATTATATGAGAAAGAATGAGCTGTTTTTAGAGCTTTAGTTATTCTGTTTATACTAAACAGACTTCAAAAAATTCTCAACATACAGAATACTTACACATTTAGTAACACTTCTCCAAGATTCAAGTGCTTGAACAAGTTTGTCCAGAATCTGCTGTTCCTTTTCCACATTTAAGTCTGAATATGTGGTAAAGATATTACTTTTCATTTCTGCTTCTGAAGGATCAATGAACCCTTTCATTAAATTCCGGTTCACTTTACTACAAAACATATCTTTCTTATCTGCTACATCATTCTGCAAAAATTTAATAGGAACAAATATTCTTCAAATCTGTTACAAAATTATTCCACAGCAATTTTATTACACACTAGTAATTTACAACAAATTTCATTAACGAACCTGCAGCTTTTTCCGCAATGCTGTAATTTGGGCAAAAAAGGAATAATAATTAAGGTTTCCCAATAAGGTTAAAAGATACCATTTATGATTTTTGGAAATTTTCTGAAAATATTACAATAGAATCAGAAAGATAATAAAAAACAGAAATTAAAATATTAGAAAAATAAGATTCACTTCCAAGATTTGACAAAGGAATAAAAATTAACACTCACCTTCAGTTTTAACTGTCCTAACATCACTGCTTTTTCATATGCCACAGAAAACTGTGTTGCTAATACATCATATTTCATCCATGTATTGCTCAAAAAAAGTGTAATACCTTCAACATAGCAAACTGGATCAACCTGAGAATCCATTAGCTGAGTTCCTACATTACAAATTGCATCGTGCATCTCTGACCTAAAATCATAAGAAAATTATGAAATGCTTAAAGCAAAAAATGCACTTCTCATCAAAGTCAACATTTAAACTTGTGTTATAGAATTCTCTACAGGTTTCAAGAGTACTGAAACAGCACTATTTCTAATTCATTCATATTTTGTTTATTACTGCCTAGCAAAAGTAACTCTTCAAATTTAAGATGCATGTACTTGGAAGCTTTTATTTTGCTTTGATATGCACCAAAAAAAGTAAGACTTCATTATATCACAAATCAATATGCTATTAGGATTTTTAAAACTATTTTATATTCAATAAAAACTTACGCATCCAAACCCTACATTTAAAAAAAAAGTGAAATAATAGTGGTTTCATCATTTCCTTAAAGGACAAGAAAATGATGAATTTTCAACAGAAAAACTCTTAGTGCTAGGCCCCAGTAATCAAAAAGTGGATAAATCTTTTTCCTATATATAGTAAAATACTTCCTCTAACATGTGTTTTGATCCATGTTTCGATTGTGGATCCTTGATACGGAAAACTCAATTGACAGCAAAATAATTGTCTGTTGTGGCACAAGCTAGTACCTAAACCAGTTGATTTTCTCCTCTATTTTTTTAATATGCATTGCCTGTTCCACGCACATTATCAATACTGTAAACCACCAATTCACTAGGAAATGGACACGAACAACAATAAGTATAGGTATATTGCATTTTTACAGAACACAAATATACTACACTAAAAAGTCGGGCATTTTAGTGGGGAATAATGTATATTTTTGTAGGAATCGTTTCCAATGCTTGGCGAGGCAATAAATTAACTTCATAAACTGTGAGAAGCAGGAGAATAAGCATTTGAGGTTTAATATTTCACAGAAAAATTATTATGCCTTTGCAATCAAAGATGGATGTATCAGTGTTCTGCTCTATAACATGCACTAGTTCACTGCAGGGATACACTGGTAACAAGCTACTTTTATGGATAAAAAATATAGTGGGATACAGCAATATGAACAAATTGTCTGATTTGTTATGTTCCTTGAAATAATAAAAAAGTGTTTGTATTTTAGAATCATTACTCAAAGGTCAACAAATCATCTTAAATCAGAACCTTTCACACATTTTTAACAACTTTTGCCTACTTTCCTAATCAACAACTGCAAGAAAATTTTTAGTGCAATATTTTAGATAGGATAATTACAGTCCCATGGATTAAAAAACAATTTTTTTTCAAAATACTGAAAACTTTCAACATTTTTCAACCTATAATATTAGCAAAATGTATAAAACTTAATACAGCAATTATAATTATGTACATTTGAAAATAATAAAATAATACTTTCATAAATGTTTAAGCTTACAATATGAAATGTGAATGTCCAAAGTCCTGTAAGTGGGACAAAATCAAACCATAAACTACGTCTTTGTGAAAAGTGTAAGTTCTACATCATATTTCCCTTTATATATTTGATTCTTCTAGAAATTAAAAAGCATGACGTTTCTTGAGCATGAACAATCTTTAACTGTTCTACCTCTCAAAGAATACTTTGATAATGGAGAAAAATTGCAGGCTAGAGAACATAACACTATTTAGATCTGTGCAACAAATGAGTTCAGAATGAAAATAGAGGTTTGTTATTTCTTGTACTTTTTTAATTACACAGGTATACAAATGAAACCTTTTCAAAATTCAATTTGATAATATCCTCTGATCTTTATGTTTTTTGGTGTGTTAAAACTGAAAGTGAGGTTAGTTTTTCTCTATCATGTAGATTTTTTCAATCTCAAGTTCAATCTCTTAAGATAGTAGTTATAATAACATAAGAAAACAGAATAAGTTGACAGTTTTTATTTATTTACATGCTATAAACGATACCAAATACATTATTTCGTATTGATATATGATGGCCAGAGTAAACAATTATAAATATTTAATTGTTATTTTTTGTGAAAAGTGTTATTTTCTCCTGGAAACTTCTTTGAATGCACTTCTGGGAATATGACTATTCAGGTGTTTCCCGATGTAGCATCCAGCAACAGTCCACCATCATGTTCATGTTCCACTTATCCTGATACCTATGTTCCAACCCTTTCCCTCGTTCTTCACTGGCTTTCCCTAAGTTTTCCATAAAATAGTTCACATGCGAGTGTAGGAAGTGAACCTTCCAACTCATGTGTCAACCTAGTATTTGAAAAGCCTTCAATAGGCGTTTCATGGTACATCTGTAATTAGGATCCTTCACGTTACCAAGGAACTTCTCAACAACCTCTTTAAAAGAATTCCAGGCTTCCCTCTCCTTTTCATTCATGGTCTAAGCAAAATTTGGATCTGAGAAAAGTTTTCTGATGCCTGGGCCTACAAAGATTCCTTCTTTTATCTTAGCATCACTTAAACCATGAAACTTGAAGCTTAATACTTGAAACATTCACTTTCTTTATTTAGTAACTTAAGAAATTGATTTATCAGCCCTAGTTTTATGTGTAGAGGAGGAAGCAGGATTTTGTCAGAAGAAACCAAACATTTCCTAATTACATTTTTTCGCCTGGCAACAGAGATTCTTATGATGGCCAGTCTTTTTAGTTCCAGTGGGAATTTCTGTCATGGCTATCCCATAAGCATAAAAAACAAGGAAACTTTGTGTATCCTGATTGCTTACCTAAGAGCATGATGAGGACTTTCAAGTCTCAACATCTCAACCACTTATGCTGATAACAAATTTATTCGAGAACTAATGTGAAAATGTCATATGTTTCCTTTAAATGTACCAAATGGTCAACTGGAACTGAAGCATAAGTATTGCTAAGGTGTAACAAAACAGCTTCTAGACTGTTTTGATGAGTCTATGAAAAGACCAATGATTGAGTCATATTGTAAACCAAATTGACCTCAGTCCACGAATGTTTTTACAATAAACAAGATTCTCATCCTGTGAAAAGTAAGGAAGAAAAACTGCTTTGTGATGTCGACACCATGAAAAGCAAGTACTTGGTAGAAATAAATGTTTGTTTTGTAAACCAGGAGCCAAGTAATTGCAGCATCTTTTGGAAGACCAAGATCTCTCACTAAGTCATTCAACTCCTGTTGAGAAAAAAGCTCAGGTTTGTTCTTTGAACAGTCTGGTTCAAACTCACAGTTCCATTATTTTCCACCATACAAACTTCTGTTTACCCCTCAATACTGTCTGACTCTCAAGGGGACTCAGGAATTAACTATTCAGGACCGTATGGTACCGGACGAATAGCAGATTCAAGATTAAGATAATTAATCAACTTAGTGTTTTGGGAATTGTAACCTTGAACAACTCAATTACAAAAGTAACAGTCATCCTCATTTTACACCGTCCACATCATTGGGATAGCAAATCTAAAAGACTTTAATTCTCTTTTGTACCATAAGCAAAGCTTTTCTAAGCAGCCATGACACACTTTGTGATGAAGCCACATTTTATAATGATCTTCTATTCTCAAACGAAAATATGCATAATACACTCTTTTGACATAATCTGTTTTATTTCTTTGGTACTTCCAGATTGTTTACTCACCACAGGTAAAACAGAAGTAGTCTGGACTGGTAACACAACAAAGATGAGACATTTTTCAAAATGCACTTCTTTAAAATGGTCTATTACTAAATTCATTCAGCAGCAACAACTGGCAAATTTTTCTGGGCATTTAAAATCTATTATTATTTGTTTAATGATATTACCTGTTCAAGGTGTATGACGACAACTCCCAATATAACAAGCGAAATGAGGTGTCACTGTCATTTTTAACACAAAGCTTCGCAAAAGCATTGGGAAATGCCATTGTAAGTTTTTGTTCTATGAAGATATTGGTTATCAGGAAATTCTTGAAAAGAAGACAGAGATTATGACATTGATATAAAATTTTTTAGAGAGCCAACATATTAAATATTTACACATCACAATTTAAAAAAAAACACATTAATACCTGTAAATTAATATTTTTTTTTGAGAGAGATGCCTGTTTTGTTGAAACCCATGTCCTTTGAAGTCCTGCACAGTAATTTGGAGAAAGTAACACCGTGATTCCTATAGAAATCAATGCTTCTTCATATTTAGATTGATGAATAAGACACTGAGTATGGCCCTTCAGAGCATTATAAACACAATCCTATGGAACAATGAATGTATCAGGACAAAACCTTTTTTTTCCCCGTTGAATTAAAAAGCAAAAGAAAAAAAAAACTGAACCACAGATAAAATGTTTAGTAATTAATCTTAACTTTCCTTAATCATTATATGGGTCATTCCACATCAAATTGCACAAATTTAAGGAAAATTTGATCTTTATGTCCCAGACGTCAAACCTTTTTTCTCTGAAGAATATAAGCACAAATATGAAAAATCTGATTTTGGTTTTTTCTCAACTATAATTTTTCGAAATTAAATTAATTTTCAAAATTTTCAAAAAATGCTCGCATGGCTAAAGTTAACCACTTTTAACTAGAGTTGTAATTGTGACAGAAATTTGATATGTTGTGACATTAAAGAACAAAAGATGCTCTTTTATTTGGTGTGTGTATATTGAATCCATTAAATTTTTTTAAAATCATTTTTTGGTGTATTTTATTTATATTTTTTTAGTCTTTCCCAAAACTCAACAGTTACAAATTTTTAAAAACATACCATTGAAATGTCTGAAACATTCTGCATAGGTTTGGTAAGTGAAAAAGTGGGACATGTGATTGTGAGAAATTAAATACAATTGAAATGTCTATTTGCTGTTTTTCTGCAGCATCTCCTCAAGCGGTATCCCTGCAGGTGCCAATCAGCGGTAGATTATTACCATCAATATACTTTCACAGAGCAATAAAGAGGAGAATCCCTTCACATCTTACGATGTGCCATATACATACGTATGATCTTCATAGTCAAGTAAATTAAAATTTAAGTGTCAAACAGATTCAATTTAGTATTAAACCGATAGAATATTTATATGAATAAGAGTATGTGATACAGTTAATTACATCGATATTTCTTTTACTTTACATGAGAATATCATTAATAATTTTTTTATAAAAAAAGTGAAACTATTTTCTTTATGCCCTCTACTGTTGTTGTTTTCTTAATTATATCATTGTTGCAATAGTCCTCTTTCTAAGTATTGTTCAGCGTTGCTAAAAATATAAAGGTAATTTCTCTACATATATCATCAGTCCACTTAAATAACTAACTGGGTAAATAAATAGGTTTCTGTCAGAATTGAAGGCTAGCTTTTATCAATAATATTATAACTGACCCCTCCCTTCTCTACATCACATTGTCACTTTCCATAAAATGTTACAAAACGAACAAATGCCATTCAGCACTCACATTGAAGGCATTTTTATGGAAGAATAAACTCACATTGTTTTGTAGTAATAGGCACTGACTTCATACGGAAAATATGCCGGTTAACACAGTAATAATCTTATTTGAGAAGAGCGAATTGAATTCGTGTCGTGTTTCAGGCATCCAGAAAAAGAACTTAATTTTTAAATTCTTTGCTTTCTGTGAAGTAGAGCACAAAAGTACGCAGAGAATCTAAGACATTAATTCACATCAGTCTCTGAATAATATCTTCAAGTACAAAACAATAATTTTTTAATAAAAAAAAATTACACTGAATAACTGGAAAATCACAATCGATCACAATGAAAAATTGTAGCATCAAATTTTGTTTTTGTCTGACGAAGAGAGCAGCAGACAATACACGATGGGCAAAACAAAAGACAAACTTACTCGGTTAGTTTTTTATTACTCATATCAGGTGATACGTTAGGGTAACAGCGGCCAGTGGTGCATGTTTATTCATTAAGCCACTGCCCAACAGATTTGCAGCATTAACTAGTATAGTTGATTCTCACTTTCTTCAACAATCTTCATTTTACTTGTCATGGGAAGGAATTTTGAAAACCAGTTTTTCCAATACACACAGCTCTTTAGATGGCAATCAGTCAATTTTCAATTTCTCAAGAATGCTGGTTGTAACAACCTGAATGTACACTACTTCTGAATTATAGATTTTCATAATACGAAAATGCAATAACAAGTATTGATATTATTGGAATGCTATCTGTGGTTACTAACTTCACAGAACAATGTTAACATGTTTTGCGAATTCCTGTTTACACAACTGACTCAACATATCTGAGAAAGAAGGCTGCTCTGATTCAGGTACATCTTAGCAGTGTCAGTTGTTTATAAATAAACTTAAAGAGTTGTATTTCCTCAGAAGACTTCCATTTCAGCCCGTATGTGTGTTTCTGTGATTCATATCATGACAAGTGTCTCACGGTCGCATTATGTTGGATGTCACGGTGCATCTTAATACCCTGTAGTTAGAGCAGCTAGTCCAGTGGGCAGCTTACATGCCCCCATGAACAAACTATTTTAAAAAAATGTGATTTATGTGTCCCACTTTGATATTTGACAATCTATACAACATTAGTGTAGAAAATAGGGGTATTTTTTCCAATTCATTTTAGTGTCAATCTAATCTACAACTTTGCATCATAAATATTAAAATATATTTTAAACATTTAAATAATATGTTAACAAAATTTATTTTCATGTCATATTAAAGTAGATGTTTTCAAGTTAAATTCAAGTGTAATTTTATTTTTCCGAAGGAAACATTTTAAACATTAGCCTGTGCATGATTATTTGGAAAAACTAATTGGTAATATTTCTGAAAGGGGAGGGATTAGAAAAAGAAAAATATGAGTCACCTCTTTTTAAACTTAGACCGCATAAAAAAAGTTTCAAGTTTCTTAAATAGTGATATTTTATTAGAGTGCCATTTGACATGGAACGACTTGTATATTTCAACATCTCTAATAGAAGTGTATTAATTCCTCTTTAAAGATGTTAAAAAAAAAACATGGGTTGGGGGTGGGAATCCAAAGAGGAAGGCAGGAATAATGAAAAATTCAAATTGAAGAGAGAGACTTCTGATGCTAAATTTCTGAACAACTTCCTCCAAAGATATTTAAGCATATCCAAACACATTAACACTAACAAAACTGATCTTTTAAGTTTGAATAAAAAGCTTAACAAATGCAAATCTGTTTAAATAAGAGTATTCCTCACCTCTGGTGTAATAATTCCTTCTTGAATGTCTAATAAAGGTTCTAATGCAAAAAATCCACACCAAAACTGTTCATAAAATTCACTGGCATGTTTAATGCATCCTCTATATTCAAGAACTGAAGCCAACTTCACTGATTTCACAGCTAAACAAATAAAACATTATTATTTATCTATTTGAACAAAAGTACCAACAAATTTTAAAAGTATAACTCACCAAGCATTTTCCATAAATTTTTCCAAATATTATCATCAATACTATGAATCACAGCAAGCAATTCGTAGGAGTATGCTTGAACTGCACTCAACTGTTTCAATACTTTATAAACATCAGCACTAGGTTCCTTATCCTTAATATTATTAACTCCAAGAATAATATTTATTCCTAATGAAATTATATTGACAATGACTTTTAAAGACAGTGACGCCACAAAAGCTGGTTCAATTGCAGGTTGTTTATTTTGTATATAATCTTTTAAATAGGAAGACAAAAGGATAGCTAACTCAGATATGGTCATAAATTCCTCTACTGACAAAGCTTCTGTTCTTGAGCTGAGCCAATATCCTTGCGCAGAAGTCAAGACACTTGCAAATCGATGCAAATGCAAGATAAGAACAGAAACTGATTCCTCCTGTATTAGATGCTGCAATGCAGATGTCTGTTGTTGAATCATATCAACAGGCAGATTGGCATCTAATATTGCTTTCACGCCTCTAACAAAAAAGGATATAATTTTATTGTAACTTTCATCTGAAGTCTCAAAAACCTCCACATCATTCAAAACCTCTGCCAGCAAACCACCATTTTTGCTAACAAGGATGTTATTTAGAAGACTTGTCACAAATCGAGTATAATTTCCGCAAATCTTTTCACAATTCTCAACCACTGTACATTCTCTAATGATACATTTGGCTACTTTCAAAAAATGTATTCCATATTCCAGACATTGAGCCTGATTTATAGTTTCCTCGCCATACACAAAATGATTAGCTTCCAATAGCAATACATCCAAGTACTTAATGTTACAACAAGAAAGAACATCCAGATAGTCATAACGAATCTTCAATATAGTATTCATGCACAAAGTTTTATTTCGCTGTTTCAAAAACATGAATAATTCATAAAAAAAGCCATAATAAACTTTTAAAACATCTTCTGTTATTTCCATTTTAAGATCTTTCATGAATGGTTTTAATTCCAATACCATTCGAACTTCACCCTGAAAATAAAGGTGTTAAACTAATAAAATAATGATTTACCAAATAATACAAATAGATTTGTCAAGTACAAAACAAGATGCTCACCCTCTTCAAAAAGTATTTGGAAACATAATATACACATGAAAGAATGGAAGAATCAACACTAGATGACTGAGTCTTAATGTATTCCAGAAGGTGTTTGACTGATACTAGAACATTGTCATCATAATGAAATCCTTCACTAACTCCTTGCGTAACAGTTTGTGTCAAATGTTTCAATATCTTGACTGCATTTTTTTCATCCATTTCCGATGCTAACAACATTTGTACCTACACAAAAAAATGATATATAATATGGGTTTGTCATTTGCCACAGAATATAATTAAATTGGAAATAGACAGTGATCATACTTTGCCACTACTAAAGACCGTAAAATCTCTAGCAGTTAGTGCACACCAGTAATCCTGATTTGGGATGACAGCCATGGCGTATGTATTCACAATAACTTCGCAAATTGTCACGATTAAAGACTACATTAATGAGAAGAATTGCCTACTACAGAGTGAAGTTACAACTGGCATCTAATCCGACACCTGAGAACATGCGTACATTTCTAAAATCGTAATCTTCAACCTATACGTGGCATTCAAACCACACCACCTCCAAACAATACCTGACCGCATCTAAATTCACATTGTCTGAAACTTAATACATTGTTAGAATTAACATCGCAAATCGGCCCACCTCAAGCCTTTACACCTCTACCTCATATTTCAAATCTTTCAAATGAACTTTCAGCTTCGAACTATAGAGTGCGCGTTCTAGAGCAGAACATAGAATCTCCAGCTGCAATTTTTTCTGAACTTAGATGATAACAACTGCATAGAGATATCCAGAATGACGTCACAACGTTTGGCGGGAAAATGTTGGATTGCAACCTCTGCTATACGCGGAGCAAGTCCTAGAGAATTACCAAATTTTTAGCTGCATTATTATGCGGTTCCCGAGGTGCGTATATCTTATCACATTTGTTATTTAGAATGGTTTTTGCTTTATTTCGGTGTAGATACTGGCTGCGAATTTTGTCAAAAAATTGGATTGGAAATAGCACTGTTTAATCAACACGTCGCTACCTTTTCTTTTTGAAAACGGTTCGAAGTAAATATTATCATAATCGTAGCAATGATATTAAGGTGCTGCTTTATTATAAAATGAAATGAATAAAACATTGGGTTCAGTGTTGCCAGAGGTATCGCATTTCCCCATTTTCGACGTTCAATTCGTAATTCGCATCAAGCCATGCGGATGACTAAAAACCCGCATTTTTACAATAAATGAAAATTATATTGTTAGTTGACAATTTGTCGGGCACTTGTGTAGATTCGAGACGGTCTAGACCAGATTAGGTATGGTTCTAGACCGTCAAGACGGCACTCAAGGTGCAGAACCGCCAGTTGTGTCTTGTGAGTAAGATTTGACAATCTCTCCCTGCCCAATTAATTTATAATAATAAAATAACTTTTCAATAAATCACTGAAATAGAATGCGTATTTTTATACGAAATAAATATGTATATACAAAAAAAGTATAAAAAATTAAATTAAAAATTATAAATAATTCACTATTTACCTTTGTATAACACTTTAATGTTATAGCCTATTACAGCTTTATTTTCTTTTACACCGTAAAGTCATAGCATTCTTCTGCGTTTTCTTATTAGTTATTATTTAAATGTGTATCATACGTGATGCCCACTACGTCTCTATTTCCCCCCATAATAGAATGTGTAAAGTTTTATGTGTTATATGAAGTCGCTGGTTTATGAGCATTGCATAAATAGCCGTATATTTTTTTGGTCAAAAATGTTGCTTAGAAAGTGTTCTCACATTTTCCATAATATCTGTGCCTGCTTCCCACCTAAACTTTGATATAAGAATAGACGCATAACATAGAAATCAAAAATATATTTCCAGATAACCACGACGATGCTTAATGTATGCAAAATTTGTGCGAATATTTGTACAACATTGGTATAAAATTGACATTTTTTACATATTTGTACTACTGTTTCTCGGGTAAAATTTGTGTACTTATATTGTGTAAACATTGTATTGTAACGTTTCACCGCGGTGAATTAAAACTCACACTGGTATTATTTAACAAAAACGTTTATTCGTAAACAATGCTACTAAAAATACTTGATCTATTTACAGATATATTACAGTCCTTGTGTTCTTCATTTGATTATTTTCCTTACATACGACTCCGTTCTCTTGAATTAATTATTTACATAGTTCACTTCTTCTGATTATTTATTTACACTGTTCACTATTTCTACACTATCGCACAGTCCGATGGACTGTCCACGGTCCACTGCGCAGACCACAATTCACTGCGCAAACCAAGGTCCACAGCACTGCTGTTTTCCGCGATGCACACTGCACAGCTCAGCTTCCACTTCAGACAGACTACTGCATACTCACACTGACGGACTGACTGCTTACTACTTCTACTTCTTACTAACTGACTGCTACTACTTGACTTCTACTTACTGACTGACTCGCGGCCACCGGCAGCGGCGAATCTGGCCGGCGCACGCCTCCAACCATCGGGAACGTGCGCCACACCTCTACGCGACTCGCGAATAACCCGGAACCATCAAGTTTGGGGGGCGCCGGCAGATGGGCCGCACGCAATCCGCGCAGCGAATCCCGGCAGATGATGCAATATTCGTTACAGTATAAATTCTAAGCAAATTTCACATAAATGTGCTACAAAAACATTTTTGGAAACAAAAATTAATTTAAACTGCAATTTAACATAAAATAATCGAATATTTTATATTTTCATGTACATATTGCAATTGTTTACATGAAAGTTTTCTTTAAAAAGTTTCAAAATTTGCATAAAGTTTACGTAAATATTGGCATCATTATTACGCCAGAAGCTGTCATAGATTAGCAAATATTTCCAACACATTTATGCAAACTTTGTACAAACAGTATTTATGTAAAATTTGTTTATTTTATGGTTAACAGAAAGGGTCCATTCACTTCTTTATTTAAACAATTCTCGTATTCTTCAATTCATTGGATTAGATTACAAAAACGAATTGTACGAATAATAAGCAAATCCCACCCACTTGATTCTTGCAAGCCTCTCTTTATTCATCTAGGTATTTTACAACTACCTTGTCACTTCATACATGAATCAGTAGTTTTTGTCAAAAATGACTTACTTACGGGCGGGAATGTATTTTCAGCAAACGCGGTTATTTATATCTATAACACTATGACATAAAGTTGATTTGGGGATTTTTTTCGTTTTTCAAATATCACATAAGTGTATTTCTTAGATATTCACACACCGTTAATAATCACATTTCCAGCGATTTGTAAACAACATTGCATTTCTGAGGTAAGGTGCTGTAAATGACTTCCAATGACGTTTTTTGAAAACTCATAAATTTTATGTGGAAAAGAGCTTCAAATTTCGCACTTACATTAACACTCAAACGCCATTTTTTTAAAACGGCTCCAAATTTTTCAATGAAAATTGCCCTATTAGGACGAGGTTTTACTGTCCTTTAACGTTTTTAAAGTAATGTTTTGATTCTTCTATTAGAAAACTTAAAAATTGAGAAAAGTATACTTTAAGCGGTGAAAGATTGCAGCTGGCAGGAGTATGTGGCATGTTCGAATAGCTAGGCCAGAGAAAAAAGAAAGCTAATAAGAGAAAGTCTGGGCCATTCTTTAGCACTACTAGTTTTTCATACACAACTTCTTTTGAATTGATTATTTTTACCCACTTTTTGAACAGTCAATAAAGTTCATATTTTTTAAAAAGATTACACAAATATTGAAGATTAAGTTATCACATTTGTTTAAAAAACATTTAATTTATTTTTTAATGTCGAAATAAAAGTGAGGGCTCATATTATCACCTTCTCTTCTATTAATAATACTATAAATACTTTCGATCATGCAAAAAACGTAATGCATTTTAAATAAAAGAATTTATTTAAGTAGATTTTGAAATATGTATCCTACAGTTATGTATAAACATTTGTGATTGTTGGAATTATGGACAGCTCGCACCCCAGTCTATCAACACACAGATCTTTCCCTGATTACAGGCGGATTCTGGCAACTGATTACAACTCGTGACGCACAACACGTTGTTAGCACACACCAAGCCACACACGTTCTACTCGACGGTCATAGATAAAGTACTGCTCTAGTCAAAGAGAACACAGGACCGTCAGTCGATTGTTCGGTATATCGATAGGCACTCTTCTGATGGGATTATATCGCCCTGTCGATAACTCCAATACTTCCCCTCGAGACAATTCCCCACACTTTACTTGACTTTGACTAGTCCAAGCAGCTCCACGCACTTCTCATGCTTCGACCTAGTCAAGGCATTGGTGAAGATGTCGGCTGGCATGTCCACCGATGCCAGATGCTCTTACTTGAGTAGCCCTGAATCCACAACTTCCCGAACAAAGTGATGGCGAACATCTTTGTGCTTCGATCGAGAATGAAAGACCTATTTGTCGCCAGTCTGTGAGCGCTGAAGTTGTCGTTGCCTTAACCTCTCACAATTCAGTCAGGAAGCTTCGAAGGTGTGTGGCCTCCTTGGCAGCCTCGCTCAGGGCCATGTACTCAGCCTCTGTGGTGGAAATCGCAACTGTCCTTTGCTTTCTTAAGTCCCATGTACATGTCCACCGATCATGGTGATCACATATCCGGTGAATGACCGTCTGTCATCTAGCGACCCAGCGTAGTCCGCGTCCACATATCCCAAAACGGGAGAGTCCCCTACCTGATATCTGACTCCCAAGTCCATGGTGCCTTTTAGGTAACGCATTACCCTCTTTGCTGCTTGCCAGTGGGACTTTCCAAATGAGTCGTTGTACTGGGCAAGCACATTCACGCCGTGAGCAATGTCTGGGCGTGTTGCCACTGACAGATACAAGATACACCCTACAAGCTCAAGATATTGCGGCCTGTCGCCGTCAGAGTCGCCTCACACATCAGCCTTGGGTAGGTTTGAGCCAGGTGCAATGGGCGTGGAAACAGGATGGCACTCACACATCTTGAATCGACGAACGATATCCTCTATATACGTCCTCTGATTCATGAAAATGGACCCTTTCCTCACTTTGAAACCTATCCCCAAGCAGCGCTCCAGATTCTCCAGATCCTTCACCTCGAAAAGTCTTCCCAGATTATTTCCGAAAGTATCCATCTTCTCGGACTTCCGACACATCACCAGAATGTCATCAACATAAATCACGATGAACATTGTGTCGTCATCCTTAAGGTACACCCACATGTCTCCTGTGGAAGGAGCTGTTCCCAGGCTCCTTAGATCCTTGTCGAGTCGCTTGTGCCAAGCCTGACTAGCCAGTTTCTAGCCGTATTGGGCCTTCATTTAACAGACCTTCCCACCAGTTGACACCTCCCTCAGTAGTGACTTGGCCTCATTAACCAGGTCATTCTGATTCTCATTGGCGACAATGTATTCAAGAGAATAGCTCATTTCACTGGGGACCTCTATGAGCACATCCTCGTCTAAAGTCCCATTGAGGTACGCAGTGGCCACATCAAATTGTCGGATTTGCATGCCACTTCGTGCCGCTAGGGCGATCGCCAGGCGAAGGGAGCTCCGGTCGCTCCGCTGGACTCCATTCGACTGACGATGACCCTAGCGGCACGAAGTGGCAGGCAAATCCGGCTATTATTTAAGCAATTTATTAAGAGGAACACGGCACCAGTTATATCTGTTTTAGAACTCGAAAATAAGTAACCAATCAACGAAATGCCCGACACACAATAGAGAGGT